ATCTATCTATCTATCTATCTATCTATCTATCTATCTATCTATCTATCTATCTATCTATCTATCTATCTATAAATGTGTGTGTGTTCCAGCATAACTCTGGAAAGCCTCAAGCAATTTCAACCAAACTTGATACGCAGATGACTTACTCACTGGAAACAAATGCTATGGGGCTAGGACACCCCTAACACCCCTCGGGGTATGTGTTCTGTTAAGATACAGCCTGTTGTGCCTTAAAATGGCTTCTACTGTACAGCACAGTGGAGTGGCCATGGTAACAGCTTCACAAGGGCTCCCTCTGGTAAGGGGAAAAATCCAACATTAGAAATTACTTTTGGTCCAGACAATTTCTCCCTATAAATAAATATCTGGGCAACAGCAGGTTATCAACTAGTAATTGATCAATTAAAAAATAGCCCGTATTAAAGGGTTGTGTTAGGGCTGGAAAGGAGTTTAAAATCCCCACTAAGCCATGAAGTGACTTTGGGTCAATCACTCCCTGGCTGATTTACTTCACAAAGTTATTATGGAGAGGAATCACACATAATGTTTAAACTCGGGGAGGCAAAGCGAGACATGGATGCTAGGAAAAAAAATTCAACTTGCTTTGAATTTAATTTTTCAGTAATACAGCATGGGGTTTTAGAATTGCTGTGGCAAAAATTGATGTCCCTGAAAGAGGATATGTGCCAGTCTTAGGATATATAAAATGCAAAAATGCTGTTTTAAAATTATAAATTGCTGCTCATCCAGCAATGATTGTAGTGGCCCATGGAAATATAGAAATGGGAGGTGGGAAAGATGATAGAATTCTCTGTAGGAGAAACTGGCTCTCTATTATTCCTGAACCAGGAATATTTAAATCAGAAGAAGAAGAAAAATCACATGGCAGGATTTGAACATTTTGAAGTGCTTCTTAACATCAGCTTGAAATCAAGTCTTCAGTCTGTTGTATGGCAGAGCGATTTCTGGATTTCTTTTTTTCTCTCTCTGCAGTTTGCTTCAGCATTTGAACACAATGCCTGCCCTGGGAGAATCAGCCGAAGCAGAAGAAATGAGGAAGAAGCACCTCCATGGTTTGACAGTCAGTGGAGACCCCTGGATCCACTGTGTGGTGCAATACGCCCACCTCCTCCTCTCTCACCAGGAACAGGTGAAGATGGTGGTTCCATTTAATGATGAAGAACGAGAGGCTTGGGACAAGTAAGTTTCCCTGCACGGCAGGGATCCCCAATTTATTTGAGATATTGCACGGATGTTGTGGGCTGTCTCAAACAAAATGACTGCCTTGGCGACAATACAGAGCATCCGATTGCTAGCTATGTATCTTTTCTATACTCTGCTTCAATAAGAAACTACCTTCCCTGATAGAGCCATGTATTTTTCTTCCTATTCTTGGCAGGTGGTAGAACTTCAGATGAAATTCTGAACTCCAGCCTTCCGTCATCCTTACTTTCTAATAAAAATTATAGGACATGTATAGGACCTAGAGCTGTGATGGCGAACCAATGACATGCGTGCCACAAGTGCCACGCAGAGCCATCTCTCCGGGCAAGTGAGATGGCGCCCGTTGCTCTTCCAGGTTCCAGTGTGCCAGCCAGCTGGTCTTCACCATGCGCGTGCCAGGAAGATGACCATCCAGTTTCTGGTACTCACATGTGCACACAAAGATCAGGTGGCCAGTAAGCATACGTGCACTAGAAACCGGAATATCATGTTCCCAGCGCGCGGATGCATGTTGGCCAGCTGGTCTTCGCTAATGCATGCCAGAAACCAGAAGACCAGGTGGCTGGTATTTCATCCGGAATATCATCTTCCTGGCATGTGCATGTGCACCAGGTGGCTGCTCTTCCAGTTTCCGGCATGTGTGCGTGCACTCCCGTTTTGGCACTCGGTGCTGAAAAGGTTCGCCAGCACTGACCTAGAGGTATTTCGGAGGCTGGTGCTTTATGTGTGTTTTTTTTTAACATCTCTTTTTATATATCTCTTTTTAAAGAAATTTAAGGTCTAGTATTTTTTTTCTCTCAAAGGTGGTAATAAGTCAGGAGGACTGGGGGCATCAAAAAAGATATCTGTAGCCCAGTGGTGGGTTCCAGATCCCGGTTGCAACGGGGCCCGGCGCCCACCACATGAAGGCTCACACCCACGCGCAGTACGCTCTTGCATCCTTACCTCCTGCAATGCCTCTGCGACACTCTAGCTGCTTGGCGGAATGTCGCGCAAGTGGCGTATGCTCTGTGTGCATGTGCGGAAGCGCCGAAGAGCTCAAATACAGGTAGGGTGGGCCCTCTGGAGCACCGTACCGGAATGGTACACGGTGCTTCTGGCAGGCACCGGTACGCCCATACCAGGGCGTACCGCCTGCAACCCACCACTGCTGTAGCCTTATTATCCTCCCAATTTAATATCATAGATACGTGAATATAAGGTCTTGATGACAGGTCAATAGCAATAGGAATAATCTATCCATTGCAAGAAGCAACTGGATCATTGAATTAGTTGGATGGTATCACTTGGGGTTGGATGATACCACTTTAGTGTGCTTAAAAGAAAGTGAGCATCACAGTAGAATCTTTCTTATACAAGCAGTTCCTTGAGTAGTCCTTGTTCAGTAACTGTTCAGTTACGATGACGCTAAGCAACTGATACTTACGACCAGCCCTCAAAGTTCTAGCCATTACAGCATCCCTGCGGTCATGTGATTGATTTTGGCAGTTGACAACTAGCTTGCAATTATGGTTGCTGCAGCGTCCTACAGTAGCATGATCTCATTTGTGACTTTTGCTGCCAGCTTCCAACAATGGGAAAATCGTCAGGAGGTCAAAAATAGTGATCATGTGACATCATGCTTAACAATGTTGCGAGGTTCAGTTAAAGGTAATTGAAAGTGCTGGAACTAATATCATAATGTTGCGATTGTTAAGCAAAGATTACCTGTAGGGATAAATGAAGTCCCTGCATGTAAAAATAGGCCATTTAGTAGGAAGATGAACTTTCTCCAACTTCTCTATGATACTGAGACTTTTATATTGTTCCCTTTTACTCTTCTAAGCTCCCAGCCATTCTTGATTACCCAGAATGGTGTTGGTGGGTGGGACAGAAGTTAACCCTTGAGCCTTGGTGGCGTGGTGGTTAGAGTGCAGTACTGCAGGCTATTTCTGCTGACTGCCGGCTGCCTGCAATTTGGCAGTTCAAATCTCACCAGGCTCAAGGTAGACTCAGCCTTCCATCCTTCCGAGGTGGGTAAAATGAGGACCCAGATTGCTGGGGGCAATAGGCTGACTCTGTAAACAGCTTAGAGAGGGCTGTAAAGCACTGTGAAGTACATAAGTCGAAGTGCTATTGCTAACCCTTTGCTTGCCATCAGTATTCCCATTTGCTGTTGCCGTATTCCACAGCCAGGTCAGACATTTAGGCCAAAGAGGCAATCCCTTGCCATCCTCCTAATGAAAAGAGAAGAAAGGCCTGGGCCTTTATGCTGATTCCATTTAATTCCTTATCTTTGCATACTACCTTTTTGCAAAAGTTCTGAGATTCTGTGACAGCCCGTGGCGCAGAATTGAAATCGAATTACATAACTGTTGGGTTTCAAACACGATGTCTCCTTATAACAGGATGTTGCAGACCGTGGAAGCCCTGAAACAAAGAGATAAAAAAAGCCACAGTATGAAGACTTCTGCCTTCCAACACCTGCTGCTGTTGGTCGGTATTCACCTCTTCAAGGTAACGTCAAGTATGCCAAAAGGTTTTTGGACCTAGCTCTGAATTCATGCAAATTCCTGACTCCTAGTTATAATACACCTGGGGTAGAGAATAATTCGTTGATTAAGAATTGTAGGATTCATTTTCTCCCTGGTTTCTGTGACAATTCTGTAACCTCAGGTGGTGACAAAGAGGTTGAGTTGATAAGTTCTCATTCATGTCTGGCCAACTTTGAGGTTCATCTTTTTTACAGGCAGTCTTTGACTTACAATCTCTTATTTAGTGACTGTTTGAAGTTGCAACTATTCAGTCTAAGTGTGAAAATTGGTCTTAAGCCACTTTTTTCAGTACCATTGTTAGCTGTGGCCCACCTGTATGTATTCCAGTCTTAACTTATTTTATATACGGAGGGAGTACATGACCCTTACTCTTTTGGCAAATAAAACAAGATTAAAAAATGCAGTTGTGGTAATACTGATAAGTTTGCTTTCTTCTTTCCTCTTGGGTCCTGCAATCCACACAACAGTCTCCAGCAGAGTGTGTGAACCTTCTGAACGATCTCCAGAATTGTATCAAGAGAGCCTTTGGTGAGAAGCCCAAGAAGAAAAAGGCAGCTACAACTGGTGAGTTTCCATCCCAGGTTGGTTATCATCGTCTTCTTAACGTACCCTTCAGTTGCATTGGGTTGATGGCTTTTAAAATTTCCAGGCAGTGTGATGGTTGCTGATTTGGACATCTGCAAGAGCCTTTCCCAAATTATCTGGAGGACATAATGTCAGAGTATGTTTATAGACTGGAATAGACATGGCAATAGGTCAGCCAATGGGGACTGTTGAAATAGACATGGTAACAGGCCAGCCAATGGGCATTGTTTGGAAATACTGAAACATAGTATTTGTTTGCATGGGGCCATAAGAGACGTTTGGAGTCTGGGCGTGGCTTAGATTTGCTGAACTGTATATAAACGTTGGTTTGGCCTCTGTAACTTTACCTCAGCTTCTGTACAATGTAGGCCTCTGTATCTCTCTACCCTGTAATGACTTGTTTCTATGAATATTGCTTCTGTGAGACAGCGGAAGAAGCAGAAGAGAAGAACAGAGGCAAGAAAGAGAGAGAGCAGAGAAGGAAGGCGCGAGAGGGAAAAGTCAGATACAAACTAGAAGTAAAAGAAACAATTTCAGCTAAGGATGGATCAAGAAATAACAATTGTGTCGATAAACCTGAATGGACTGAATGCACCAAAAAAAAGAGCCCAGATGTTTAATAAACTTAAGAAATTGAAAGTAGATATAGTATAGTCTGTATACAGGAAGTGCATACTAAAAGAGAACACAGGAATCTACTGGAAAATAAAAAACTAGGGAAATTATATACAGCATTGGCAGATAAGAAAGAAGTGGGATAGCAACCTATATAAAGGAAGAAATAAACTCCAAAGAAGT